AAATCAAACATTACAATGAAAAAACAGAAGACCTGAGTAGACATTTTTCCAAAGAAGACATACAGATGGTCAAGAGACACATGAAAAGATGCTCAATATCACTCATCATCAGGGAAATGCAAATCAAAAACACAATGAGATATCACCTTTTACCTGTTAGAATGGAGATAGTATCAAAAAGACAAGAAATAACAGGTGTTGGTAAGGATGTGGAAAAAAGGGAAAACTTGTGCACTGTTGGTGGGAATGTAAATTAGTGCAGTCAATATGGAAAACAGTACAGAAGTTCCTTGAAACAATAAAAATATAAATACCATGCAATCCAGTAATTCCAGTACTGGGTATTTACCCAATGAAAATGAAAAGACTAATTTGAAAAGATATATGCACCTCTTAAGTTTACTGCAGCATTATTTACAATGGCCAAGATATGGCTAAGTGTCCATTGATAGACAAATGGGTAAAGTAGATCACTCACACACACACACACACACACACACACACACACACACACACACACACAGAAATAGCATTCAGTCATAAAAAAGAATGAGCTCTTGCCATTTGCGACAAGGATGGCCTTAAAGGGTATTATGCTAAATGAAATAAGTCAGACAGGAAAACTATACCTTTTGATTTCACTTACATGTGGAATCTAAAAACCAAAGACTCTTAAATACAGAGAACAAACTGGTGGTTGCTAGAGGGGAGGGGAATTGGGCGTGGGCAAAAGAGATGAAGGAAATTAAGAGCTACAAACTTCCAGTTACAAAATTAATAAGTTACAGAGATGAAAAGCACATCACAGGGAATACAGTCGATAATACTGTAACGTTGTATGGTGACAGATGAGGACTTACTGTGGAAAGTATAGAGTAATGTACACAATGTCAAATCAATAATGTTGTACACTTGAAACTAATATAACATTGTATGTCAATTATACTTCAATTTAAAAAAAAGCACAGCAAACTCTGCGGCACTTTAACTGACCCCAGTCATATACCCTTTTCCACAGCTCATCACAGCCTGTGCAAATAATAACTGATTCCTAATTATGGCAGGAGCAGAATGAGCTAATTTGCAAAGAAGTAAACAATTATTTGTTCTAACCTGTCTGCTGGCTGCCTGGAATACTGGTCCAAAAAGCTTGTCTTTATTTTGCCTAAGTCAAAATTGGCCTAATTCTAAAGCTGCTACCCTGGAGGCATTGGTTGAAAACTTTTACAGGCTGATATCTTAGCCGCTGCTGACGGAGGTGACAGAAAACAGTTGGGAAAGCAACAGATTAACCAAAAAGCATGAGGGGAAAGGCTGAGGAATGAGATCCTCTGACATTGCCGGGAATCTAGAAGTCCATGTGCATGCTCAAGGCTATGAGCATGCTCAGAAAAGACCTGAAAATAATCTAAGTTCTCACTGGCTGCTGACATTGAGTCTCTTTGGAAACAGAAAAGAATAGGGCAGAGTTATAAACCACCAGGCAATCTCCAACACATACACAGAGGCCATGGCAAAGACTGGAAGAATTTTGGGCTCCAGGTATTTAAGGAAATCTCTGTCCAATTACTAGCTGTTCACTAAGCTAAGGAAACAGAGTTCAGTGCTCACACATGACAAAAAATACAGACTTCAGAAAATTAGTTAAAAAAAAACCCCACTAAACAGACAACTACAATTAGCCCAAATAACAACAAATCCTACGAAAGAGAGAGAATCTGGTTTCCAGAGTTGCCAAGTTATAATATTGATAATATCTGGTCTTCAATAACAATAACAAAAATTACAAGCCCTGCAAAGAAAAAAGATAGTATGTCCCATACAAAGGAATAAAGAAACAGAAACTGTGCCTGAGGAAGATCAATGTACTTTCTAGATGAAAGCTTTAAATCTGCTATTTTAAATATGTTCAATAAACTGAGGGAAACCAAATAACTAAAGGCAACATTTACACAAAGACCTGTATGTGGGTGTCCAGAGTAGCTTTGTTTATCACAGCTAAAGAGGAGAATCAATCAAATGTCTATTAGCTGATGAATGAATAAATAGTATGTGACAGATCCATACAATGGAATATTATTCAGCCATAAGAAGAAATGAAGTACCATTAAATGCTACAACATAGATGAACCTTGAAAACATTATGCAAAGCCAAAAACAAAAGAGCACATATTACATGATTCTAATTAAATGGGATGTCTACAATAGACAAATCCATAGGGGCAGAAAGTAGATTCGTGGTTGTCATGGACTAGAAAGGCTGAGAATTGGAAATAACTGCTAACAGGTAGAGGGTTATTTTTATTTTTTTGGTATGATGAAAATGTTCTCAAATTAGATACTGGTAATGGTTGCACAACACAGTGAACAGACTAAAAATCACTAATGAGTATGCATTAAAAAAAATCTTTATTCATTTTGAGAGACAGAGAGAGAGACAGAGAGGGAGAGAGAGAAAGTGTGAGTAGGGGAGGGGCAGAAAGGGAGAGAGAATCCTAAGCAGGCTCTGCACTGTCATCACAAAGCTCAACTCACAAACCATGAGATCATGACCTGATCCAAAACCAAGAGTCAGATCTTTAACCAACTGACCCACTCAGGCACCCCAAAGTGTATGCACTTTTAAATGGTGAATTTCAAGTTATGTGAAATATATCTCAATAAAAATTCTATAAAAAGCTGGCAACATAGGTCATATTTAATAATGAAATGATAAAATTTTAAACATAATTTCACAGCTGAAATAAAAAGTTTCAATGATGGAAGTTTTTGAGATGGGTAACAAAACAAGGATACTTGTCATGACTTCTATTCTACGTGTACTGGAGATCCTAATTAGCACAAAAGAAAAAAATGCATAACATACAAATAAATAGAATTTAAAAATAAATTTAGCAAGGTTGCTGGATAAAAGGTTATTAAAAAAATCCATTATATTTCTATATATCAAACGTAATTAGAAAGTGAAATTAAAGAAACAATATCATTTACAATGTCCTCTAAAAACACTAAATACCCAGGGAATAAATCCAAGAAGACAATGCGCAATATGTACACACAAGAAACTGCAATACATTATTAAAGTGTTTTAAAGACATAAATGAATGGGTTTATTCATGGTTTGTAGACTCAATGCTGTCTGGATGTGAATTCTTCCAAACTTGATCTCTATATATTCAATATAATCCCAATTGAGTATTTCAGCTGACTAATTTGTGGAAAGTGACAAGTACTTCAAAAATGTGTATGAAAATATAAAGTGGAAATCTTGTAGAAGGAAAACAGAGCTGGAAAATTATTGCACCAGGTACCTATTACAAAGCTACAGTAATAAATGCCGTATGGTATTGGCATAGGATGGACAAGTAGATTCACGGAACAAAGTAGAAAGCCTGAACAGACCCACACAGTTATAAACACTTGTTTTATGATAAAGATGGTTATTTGTAGAGTTGTAGGAAGCAGTATTTTCATTAATTGAGTCAACTTGTTTGAAAACTTTTGAAAAAAAATTACACTTAAACATTACTTCACCCCAAAACACAAAAATAAATTCCAGGAGATTATTGATCTAAATGTGAAAAACAAAACATTAAAGTTTGTAGAAGAATTTAGCAATTAATCTTTATGACTTCAAGGTAGGAAAAGATTTCTTAAACACAACACGAAAACCACCAAAGAAAGGACAGTAAAGGAAAAGCATGGTAATTAAAATTAGTGACTCTCATCATCAAAAGAAACCATTAAGAGAGTAAAAGGGGAAGCCAGAGTGGAATAAAATATATGTAAAAGACCCGTTTACGAATTATATAAAGAACTCTTTACAAATCAGTATAGAACGCATAGGCAACCCAATTCTCCTATTCACATAGGAGAATATTAGTGTCCAAAAACATAAGAAAAGGTATTCATTCAATCTTATTGATCAAAGAATATGCAAATTAAACCATATTAGATATCACTATATACCTACCAGAATGGTTAAAATATAAAAGACTTGATGAAATGTTGCAAGAATGTAGAGTAACTGGAATGTTTATATTCTGCTGCTGAAGTATAAATTGATAAAAATATTTTAAAAAATAGTTTAGAAGTAAAGTTGAGCTACGACCCTGCAACTTAACTACAAAAATAGAAATGTACACATATGCATACTAAAAGTACAACAAAGTTCACAGGAAAATTATTTACTGTAGCCTAAAGCTGGAAAAAATACAAATTTTCAACAGAATAAATTCTGCTACATTTCTAAATGGACTATACGGTAATGAAATGAACAACCTACTTCTACACACAATAATGGACACATCTCACAAATATCACACTAAATGGAAGAAAGCAGATGCAAAGGAGTACACATGGAATGTGTTATGGACTGAATTCTGTGTTCCCCCCAAATCATGTGTTGAAATCCTAATCCCCAATGTGATGATATTGGGACGTAGGGCCTTTGGGAGATGATTAGGTCATGAGGGTGGAGCCCTCATGAATGGGATTAGTGCCCTTACACAAGAGACCCCAGAGAGCTCTCTCACCTCTTCTGCCATGTGAGGACACAGCGAGAAGACTGCTGTCTATGAATTAGGAAGAGGGCCCTCACCAGACACCGAATCTGCCGGCGTCTTGATCTTGGACTTCCCAGTCTTCAGAACTGTGAGAAATAAACGTTTGTTGTTTAAGCCACCCAGTCTATCATACTTTGGTTATAGCAGCCTGAATGGACTAAAACAGGATGATTCCATTTAGAAACTTCAAGCAACAGGTTAAACTAACCTATGATGTTAGAAGTCAGGGTGGTTTTATCTTTGTGGAAGAAAAGGAAGGTACAGACCAGGAGGAAGAATGAGGGAGGCTTCTGGACAATGGCAATGTTCTACATCCTGATCTTGGCAACCGTTAACTTGGTTCAAATCGTGATAGTTCGCTGAGCTGTGTATCTGTATTTTATGTGCTTTTCTGTATTTTACTCAATTAAAAGAAATGTTTTAAAGTTTATTTACCTGTTTTTTCTGTGTTTTGTTTCTGTTTCCCAGCCAATCATCCATTTGTTCCTCAATTTCTTCTATAGAAGTTCCATGATCATAAGATTGAATATATGCACTTTCTAAAGGCGTATATACAGGAAATTCAGGTTTTGGTTTTTTTACTTTAACTTTCTTCTGTTCTAAAAATGTTTAAGAGAATCAATTATTGATATTTGTTAAGAATAAAAAAGAATTTTAAACATTTTATTCATACTGTATCTTGAAAAAATTGTTCTTTCATCAAAATAGAACTCTATACAATGGAATATAATTTAGCCATAAAAAGGAATGTAATCTTGCCATTCGCAAGAATATAGATGAACCTCAAGGGCATTATGCTATGTGAAATAAACCAGAGAGAGAAAGACAAATACCTGTGATCTCTCTAATATGGGGAAGCTTAACAAAACAAAACCCAAACCCTCAATAAACCCACTCACAAATACAGAGATCAGTGGTTGCCAGAGGTGGGTGTGGGGAGTGGAGAGATGGGTGAAGGGGGTTAAAAAAGATTACAACTGCTTTGCTGTAAATAGCTAGCTGTTTTATTGTGCATTAGCTACTGCATTGTTTTTAAAGAAAACTCAGAGATGCTAATGGTGAGATGATGATCATGATATAACCACTATATCAATTTGTTTAGATCTTTAGTTTTCAAAGTACTTTTCATGAAACATTTCATACTGACAAAAGAGCCCGGTCATTAGTGTTTTAATTCTATCCTTACCACCGAATAGTGCCATAATATTGGGCAAGTAACTTAACCCTGTTAGAACAAGTGTCTATTTTCTCATTTGTAAAAGAGAGCTAAATCTAATCTTTTAAGTTGATATGCAGAAAATTATATAACTCTAACATACTACGTGGTATAACAGTGGCTCTTTAATGAATAGCATATATATTCATCTTTTCAATATTTTAACAAAGGCAAAATCTAATCTGGTGGCAGCAGGGATAGTTATCAATATCAACTGGCCTCTTCAAATCCCATTTTTTAAAAAACATTTATTTTTGAGAGAGAGAGAGAGAGAGAGAGCAAGGGAGGGACAGAGGCAGAGGGAAACACAGAATCCGAAGCAGTCTCTAGGCTCTGAGCTGTCAGTACAGAGCCTGACACTCAGAGCCTGACATGGGGCTGGAACTCACTAACTGTGAGATCATGACCTGAGCCGAAGTCGGACGCTTGACCAACTGAGCCACCCAGTCACCCCAAATCCCATTTTGATTAGAGTCAATACTGAGAAGAAACTCCATTCTTAATTGCTACAGTCGAATGCCTTATAACCATATCTTCACTACTGTGTGTGCATGTGTGTTTGCAGATTCTATAATGCTGATGGTAAAATTCATGATATTGGCATAGAAATAGATAAATTCCTAGAAGAGAACCGAGAATCCCTAAACATTTCAATTCAGTGGGAAAATGATTTAATAAATGATGCAGGTGCAACTTAATATCCATTGGAAAGGAAAGTAGACATAATTTTATCCAATACGTAAAAGTAACTTCCAGTTAGATAAGAGACTTGACTTTAAAAGCCCAAACAATAAACATCTTGCAAAAAGAAATCTAAAAAATTACATGCAATATTTAAAGATGAGGAAGTTTTAACTAAGACTGAAAACCTAGATGCTATAAAAAAGATAAAGAATAAACAAATAAAGGGGCGCCTGAATGGCTCAGTCGGTTAAGCGTCCGACTTCAGCTCAGGTCATGATCTCACAGTCCGTGAGTTCAAGCCCTGCGTCGGGCTCTGGGCTGATGGCTCAGAGCCTGGAGCCTGCTTCCGATTCTGTGTCTCCCTCTCTCTCTGCCCCTCCCCAGTTCATGCTCTGTCTCTGTCTCAAAAATACATAAAAACGTTAAAAAAAATAAAAAAAAAAAAAAGAATAAACAAATCAAGAGAGAGAGATAATATATTTGGAAAGAATATCTACAATTTAGAGTACAAATAGAAGGTTGATCTATAGAATATATAGAGATAGTATATATTGACAAGAGGGTAAGCAACCAACAGAAAAAAATGGGCAACGTTTACAGAAGAACAAATCCAAATGGCCAAGAAACCAGCAAAAATACTCACAACCTCTAAAAGGTTAAAGGAATGCAGATTGAAGTAATAAAAAAATATGATTTTATACCTATCGTATGACAGAAATGTAAAAATCCAACAAAAGGTACTGCTGGCAGGGAAAGGGCCATCTCTACATTGGTGGTAGAAATTTGAATTATTATATTACAGCCTTTTCGGAAAGTGATCTAAGAGAATCGATTAAAATAAAAAAAATAATCTTTTCTCCAGCAATCCCCTCAGAAACAAAAGCATTAAAATGTAATTGTATGTAAGTATGTGGTATATATGTATATGTGTCTGTTAGCATGGAGATACAAAACTGTTAATGTAGTACATGCATATTAATAGAAGAAATGACTGAATAATTGTTGGTGATGTATCTATACTAAGGAATATTAAATTACCATAAAAAGATACTGAAGTACAGCTATATCAGTTGACTTACAGGGATTTTCATTGAGTAATAAAGCAAGATACAGAAAAGCATATAAGATTCTCTATTTGCAAAGCAAAATAATGCCTCTTCAAATCCCTGTATATGCTTGCATATATATTTTCATCTAAATACATTTGAATATTATTATAAGAGTATGGGGAAAAATATGGATGAATGCCTACATATGTAGGGGGTACAGATAAAGAGGAAGGGAAGAGACAATAAAGGGAAAGAAAGAAACATATCAGTAAAATAAATAATATATGTGAATGTATATTTATATATTTCTACCAAGTTGTAGATATCAATAAAAAAAACAAAACTTAAAGATTATACAAAATAAGTCTTTCTGAAAATACAATTTCTAAAACCAACAAACCTACAGCTTATAAATATTTACTAAATTCTTGCTGCTTTAATAATACAGGGCTAAGACTATAGCAACTAACATTTTACCCTTGGCAAAACCTCTCATATATTAAAACAAAAACAAAAACAGGTGTTTTCAAAACATGCCTAAAGGAAAAAAAGTCCTATCTGCTAACTACCCTCATCTTTCCTCCAGATTTCAATAAACTCTATATAATTAGTGTGGGCCCAGCTATCATGAATTTTGGGGTTGTGAACACATTCGTGTTTATAGTTCATCCAAGAAAAAAAAAAAAGTAAGATCTTTAAGCAGCACAATGAATTTCATGGGGAAGTAGTTAAATAGAAAATATAGAGTATTTTTGCTGGAATTGTAAGTCCTATTAAAATTTTGTAAGTTATGGGCTTCAAGTTAAGATAGATTGATTCCTAATGGCAAGCCTGACAAAGGCAAGAAACAAAAACTAGCTAACCAAGAACAGAACAAGTATTGTTAAAATGTCTATACCACCCAAAGCAATCTACACATTCAATGTAATCCCCATCAAAACAACACCAGCATTCTTCACAGAGCTAGAACAAACAATCCTAAAATTTGTATAGAACCAGAAAGATGCCAAATAGCCGAAGTAATGTCGAAAAAGCAAAGCAAAGCGGGAGGCCTCATAATTCCGGACTTCAAGCTATATTACAAAGCTATAACCATCAAGACAGTATGGTACTGGCACAAAAAAAGAGACATGCGGATCAATGAACAGAACAGAGAACCCAGAAATGGACCCACAACTGTATGGTCAACTTATCTCCGATAAAGCAGGGAAGAATATCCAATGGGAAAAAGTCTCTTCAACAAATGGTGTTGGGTAAACTGGACAGCAACATGCAGAAGAATGAAACTTTCTTATGCCATACACAAAAATAAATTCAAAATGGATTAAATGTCTAAATGTAAGACAGAAAACCATCAAATCCTACAGAACACAGGAAGCAATCTCTTTGACCTTGGCTGTGGCAACTTCTTACTAGACATATCTCTGGAGGTAAAGGAAACAAAAGCAAAATTGAACTCTTAGGACTTCATCAAGATAAAAAGCTTCTGCAGAGGGGCGCTTGGGTGGCTTAGTCGGTTAAGCATCTGACTTTGGGTTAGGTCATGATCTCATGGTTCATGAGTTCAAGCCCCACATTGGGCTCTGTGCTGACAGCTCAGAGCCTGAAACCTGCTTTGGATTCTGTCTCCTCCTCTCTCTGTCCTTCCCCGCGTGTGTGCTCTCTCACTCCTTCTCTCTCTCAAAAAAAATAAACATTAAAAAAAAAAAAAGCTTCTGCACAGTGAAAGAAACAATCAGCAAAACTAAAAGGCAACCTATAGAATGGGAGAAGATATTTGCAAATGACATATCGGATAAAAGGCTAGTAGCCAAAATCTATAAAGAACTTCTCAAACTCAACACCCAAAAAATAAAGAATCCAGTTAAAAATGGGCGGAAGACACAAATGGACATTTTTCAAAAAAAGACATACAAATGGCTAAGAGACACGTGAGAAAATGCTAAACATCACTCATCATCAGGGAAATACAAATTAAAACCACAATGAAATACCACCTCACACCTATCAGAATGGCTAAAATTAGCAACTCAGGAAACAACAGATGTTGGCAAGGTTATTTTCCACAGAAAAAGATGTTTTCTGCAGAAAAAGGAGAATCCTCTTACACTGTTGGGGGGAATGCAAACTGGTACAGCTACTCTGGAAAACTGTGGAGGTTCTTCAGAAAGTTAAAGATAGAACTACCCTACAACACAGCAACTGCACTACTAGGTATTTACTCAAAGGACAAAAAAAAAAAAAAATACTGATTTGAAGGGATACATGCACCCCGATGTTTATAGTAGCATTATCAACAACAGCCAAATTATGGAAAGAGTCCAAACATCCATTGGCTGATGAGTGGATAAAGAAGATGTAGTATACATATATGATGGAATATTACTCAGACATTAAAAAGAATGAAATCTTGCCATTTGCAACAACATGGATGGAACCAGAGTGTATTATGGTAAGCAAAATAAGTCAGAGAAAGACAAATACCACATGATTTCACTCATATGTGGAATTTAAGAAACAAAACAGAGGAACATGGGGGAAGGGAAGGAAAAATAAAATAAGATAAAAACAGAGAGGGAGGCAAACCATAAGAGACTCTTAACAATAGAGAACAAACTGAGGGTTGTTGGAGAGGAGGTGGGTGGGGGGA